CACATCTTAATTTCATAATTTTCCACCAAATAACCCCACCACCTCTTCAAAATAAAAATAAAAATAAAAAAAATTCAAACTTTAACCAAAACCTACTTCAAAAACTGAAGTTATGCAAATCCTAAATCAACTCCTCTTCTCAAAAATCAAAGAGACCCAGATGCCAAAATAGGTTGTTTTGTCAAATTAGTGTGGAAAAACGTGTTTTGAAGCTGAAATTGATGAAGGAAGGATAGACCAGAAGCAAAGGGAGATTCGAAAAATAATAGGATTTGTAGAAATCATTTTATGAAAAGTGAAATTTTTAGGGTTAGATTGAAACAAAGGGAGAGAGAGAATGCCATTGGATTTACCAAAAAGTTTCAGCCTTGACGATTTCTCCTTACTGAATCTCATATTAGATGATGACTTAGGAATTTTGAAGGAAAAGGACTTTAATTATTATTACAACTATTTTTTAATGGAATTTTGTAGTGCCAGAAGAAAAAAAGCGTGAGAGAGACGGTGAAGAAAAAAGAGGGCAGAGAGTGAGAGAGAGACGGTGAAGAAAAGAGAGAGAGTGATGAATAAAGGGTTGGAGAGAGAAAGATTTGTGTGAATAATTTTTTTTTCTCTTTTTCAAAATTTGTTATTTTTTTGGCTTTTTTTTATCACGCCGTGAATTAACTTGACATGATATCTTATCATAAATTTTTTTTATATCAGGTATTAATTTCAATCAAAAAAATATTTTTGATATCAGGTGTCAATTTTTACAGCGTAACCTGAAAAGACATTAAGAAAAATTCAAAAAATAAATATGAATAAAAAAATAAAAGAACAATAACCACATTAAGAAAATTAAAAGAATATAGGGACGTCATAATGCGATTAAACCGTAATTATTATGACAAAGCTTCTCCACGAAGGAAAGAATGGTTCTATACTTACATTTGATCATCAACAACAATAACGAGCGAAGGAAGGAAGGGAGGAAGGGGTTAGGGTTTTGAATTGGACAAATGGAATCTCCAACTCCAAGAAATGATTCTCAAGAAGAAGAAGAAGAGGTCTTAAAACTCAACTCTCTCTCTTTCTTTCGTTTTGCAATTTCCTGGGTTATTCTCCCTTTTCTGTTGTTTAAAAACAAGTTTTTGATGTCGTTGCTGCCTTTTTTTTTTTTTTTTTAAAGTGATTCTTGGCTGTGGTTTTTTCAGCTTACACTGTAAAAATTGTCTAACTTCGTGGATTGGAAACTTAATAGAGTTGTCTTGAACCAAATAAACGAAAAGTCCGAAAACAGAGAGAGTGTGTGCATGTGTTTGTTGCTGAATAAAAATGTTGAATCATTCTCTAAGTTCCAGTTATTTGTTTTCTTGTGTTTGGAAGGCCCCAAATTCAGTTTTTTTTTTTTTTTTTTTTTTTGGATTTTAGATTTTATTGATGCATAATCCTACTTATGCGAGTGTCAGGATTTCTATGCCTTTGTTCGTTTTATTTTAGGATCATTTTGCATTTTCTTGGAAGTTGCTGAGGTTTTCTGTTTACTCTATTGGGTTATCGGTATTTCTTCTTAATTCTACACAATGTATATCTCTCATGGTTAATAAACGTTTATTTATCTTGTAGTATGTTTTTCACTTCAATGATTTGGTTGGCTTTTCTATTCTAAGATGTTGTCTACCCTGGTTTCTCTCTGCTTGCTTAAAGGGAACCTATTGCTGGGTTTTATTTATGTTCAAAACTCATGTGGTTCTTACGCTATAAGATGTTAGAGATTTTTTTCTTCCCTTGCAGATAAATATTTATTTGAAAGTCATGAAAACATCGACCATGAGAGTTAAGAGATCAAATACAATTGGAACTATCAAATCTGCAATTCGTGAGAAGGAAGGAATTTCTGAAAGTTCCCCAGAACTTTTTTTTAATGGTGACCGGCTCAAGGATGGCCAGAGAGTAGTTGATTATGGTATTCCAAAGAATGCCACTCTGCATATGATTCTTCAGAGTTCAGTTAGAGTGAAATTGCTAGTCACTATACCGTCACGCCAGAAAAGTATTGTGGTTGAAGCAAGGACTTACAATACTATCCAAAATATTAAGGCTGTAATTCTAGAGAAGGAGCGAATTCTTCCACATCAGTATAATCTCATATATGCTGGAGAAGTGCTCGAAGATGATAGGACTCTGGCCTCTCTAAATTTGCAAAGTGAGCCAGCCCTTCATTTGGTTTTTAATCCAAAAGATGTGTTGTCGTTTTCTGTAATTACACCTGCAGGGGAAACTGTGAAACTCAAAGTCAAATTTCTGTATTCTGTTTCTGAAGTCAAAGCAATAATTGGTAGCATGATTGGTGGCCCATTAAGTGATTATGATCTGATCTACGACGGCAAGAAGCTTGAGGATTCCAATTCATTGGCTTGTTATAACATCCAAGAAGAATCTATCTTAGAGATGTCACCCCAGACATTTCAGGTATTTGTTAAGGCCTGGAGTGGGAAAACCATAACTCTTAATGTTCACCAATGTGACACTGTTCAAGACGTGAAGGACAAGATTTTCCAGAAGCTTGGCGGGCCAAACTATTGTCAGAGTATTGTGTATTCTGGAAAACGACTTGAGGCAAACCTTGATCTGGCATATTACAACATTGGGAAGCATGCTACACTTTATATGGTTTTCTCACCTTCAACAGTAACCAACAAAATGAAATTGTCAGAAATTGGGGCTGAACCGAACTCCTCTGATAAAATTTGTGATTTAAAGGCGATGATCCAAAATAAAATTCCCAGCACAGTAAAGGAAGTATATTTCCGTGGGAAACCACTGGAGGATGAGTGCTCTATTGCTAGTTACAACATCAGTACAAGTGATAAGCTGACTGTTGTTTCTGAACAGCGCTGGTATTAGTCTGGAGAAAGATTGTCAATGTCTCGCACAGCCTGGTGATATAATTTTGGTATACAAGTAGTGTTTATATCCCTGTGCATATAGGACATGCCAACTGGTAAGATGTTGATTCTGCAGTCACTTTGAATGCTAGGATTATGTATTTATGTTGGCATGCTTGCTTAGAAAACTTATGTTTGTTGTTCTGGGCCTGAACAAACAACCTGACTTGCTGAATTTTGTTAATGATATTCTCTGTGCCTGTGAATTTTGTGAACTGAAGTAAGAACAATATTGACTTAAAGTAATTAACCTCCTGTTATTATTATTCTTTTGGTACTTTAGAGAAAAAAATGGGGGCAAAATAAGGAAATTGAAAAATTTATCATCCGAGTTTGAGTAAATTATAAATTAGCCCCTTTTGTTTTGAGAAACAAATGAATTAATCTTTCTATTTCAAAAAACAAATCATTTAGTCCTTCATTGCTATGTTTTAGTCAGATATGTCATATTAATACATAATACTTAAAATATCTTTTGACATATATATTCATTCATGGAGATATGTTTTGGTGTTTGAGGAAAGATAAAGAAAGTAGAGATTAATAGAATGAGAAGTGAAAATTTGAGAAGAGAAGATCTGAGGAGAGAAATGGAGATTTGTTATGGTGCTCTCGGAGAGAGAGAGGAAGGAGATGTGTATGAAGAAGAGAAATAATACATAAAAATAAATAATAATTAAAAAGAAATGTAGTAAGAATATCTCATTACCACTCTGAAAGAAAACTAACTAAATGATGAGTTTTTAAAACAAAGAGTACTAATTAATTTATTTTTCGAAACACGAAGGACTAATTTATAATTTATTCTGAATTTAGGATCTTTTTTGTTTCTTCTTTCATGCATTTTTATGTTCAGTTGGGGATTAGTTTTTTTGCAACACCTAATTAGTTAAGTGAGAATCCCCTCACAGGAAAGAGATTATGATGTATATCTTTCTGTTTTAGTGACAGATAAATTCTTTGCCTGTGTAAATATCCAGGGATTTAGATGCCTTTGTAACTTAGTTTTTTGCAACTGACCTACAAATAAACAGTTTATTAATCAAGTGGATTGCATAGGCATTTGACATGGGCTTGTCGATCATGGGCTAAGTACATCCCCTTTTTATTCTAGTCCAACACTTACAAACGTAGCGGCACTACCATCTGAAAACCATGATCTCTGTATTCACTTGTAGTTAAAATTAGCAGATAAATCAAGCTTTGTGTGTCAGATATGGTATAGACATGCCTATTGGGGTTCGGGGTACTAGCTTTATGTGTGCTTTTTATCTGATATCTTCCAGCCTGAAGAGCGTCTAACACAGAACACCATAGATTTCAATTGAAGTAAATAGCGAAAGAAGAGAAAACTACGACTTCCATATAAATGCATTTGGGGGTCTGGTGCAGGGCTCTTTTGTAGACTTCTACAAAATACTAGTAAAATAGCCTCGACTTCTTGGATTCAAGAATACCAATTTATATTGGCAAACAAAAAACGGCCAAGATGCAAAATCCAACAAAAGATAATCCATAGTTTTTTACATGAAATAACTGAAAAACATCAATTCACTCTTTTTGGCTACTCAGGCAGGTCGTCACCAATGTTCTCTAAAATTCACGAACCTAGCTGAAAAAAGCAGCTAAAGAACTTCCATTCCCCTGCTCCTTGACAATGAATTTTGATGCCCTAACAATGGTGCTGTCTCTGTTACATTGCAAGTGCAGCAGAACAGTAAAGGGAAATTAACCGAAACTCTTTGCATGCTGAAGTCCAAAATTCCTGAGGGGTAGGGTGGCTCTTTACCGTTTTTGATGCCTCTCAACATTTCTTATGAATCTATAATTAAGCCAGCAAACTTGGACGAGTTGATCGTTAGATGTTAAGGTCATTCACGCAAAGTAAATCCACTATATGTAATCCTAATACTCTGGTATAGTAAAATTGCAGTTCATACAATCACCATCCGTATGACCATTTTTTTCAACCAAAGAAATGTTACAACATCATCTAAGCCTAGCTCTCTCCATGTAATAACACAACTTTTCTACAAGCACAACCGTAAAAAAAAAAGAGAGAACCATCTTCTAATTAACATTTGCCCTATCGAGGCCACAAAATATTACCCTAAGAATATCATCAAATAGTTCAGACATAATTCCTAACAAAATTTCCAAAGCCAAATACCAGGCTCTCCATCTGAAGCAGAACAATTTCATCACAAAATGCTGATCCCAGGCAAAGCATTCGATTCTACCGTTTTTAGCAGGGATTATCAACATAACGTCTGCGCAACTTCAAAGCTTCCCTGTCTTTTTTGCATGGGCAAGAAACAGGACTAATCCTCCTGGACTGCCTGTAATCAATCTCGTGAAAGCACGAACAGCATTTGGACCCAACATCTTCCCCAGATATCACTCTAGGATCGCAGTCCTCTTCTCCAACAAAGATTCCAAAAATTCTGAACATAATTTGGTAAGGGGCGGAAGATTATGTGATGATCCACTAAATATGGTCTCCCATGACCTCTCCAATGGTACAGATGGGACCCAGGAAGCCTGTTTCCTCTTTGGGTCAAACTGTGGGAGCTCCCCATAGATGGATGTATAACCAAATTTCGCTGCATAAAAAGATGGATACGATTTATTTTGTATTTGTGCAGTACAATTTAGTAGTAGCTAGGTGTTGAGACTTATAAAAAAATTCTAACAGCTGCTAAAAAAATAACGAGAAAAAAGAAAAGCAATAGTTTCCTTTCTAATAAATTATAACTAGAAACTAAATGAACATGTGCCTTGAGTATTTACTGACAAAACGACACTTCAACAGACCTCTTTAATCACAAGATAATCCATACACTATAAGCAAAAGCATGAATTCTTGAAACTTTTGATTCACCTTAAGTACCTTTTAGCTTTCCTAATCTGTTTAAACTTTTGCAGCATTGTTATAAAATAAAATAAAATAAAATAAATAAATAATAAAGACAAAAACTCGCCTCCCAAACTAGTACGGTTGGTGTCAGCTATGAGATATAAAAAATGATCACCTAAAAAATATTGAAATCACGAAAAAGAAAATTAAATGTAAAGTTCTATTGCAATGCATCAGCTTCATCTTTTGAAAATGAGAATTTTTTTGGTTATAAAAATGTATTTTTAATGTACATAGCATGCACCACTTTAATTAATTAATAAAAAAATAATGGAGGATCATATTAAGGGAACCCACCAGCTTCTTCAAGGCCACCGAGACCCTCTTGCCGAACTGCACTACGTTCCTTTGTTTCTTTACTTTGTGGGTCAAATAGCAAATACTCGTGATCCCCATTTACATATGCAAGCAATGATTGAGGTGGTTTCCCATCTAGTTCATTTTCATCTATAGAAAAATGATTTGCTGGAATAAAAGCAAGAGCTCCTCCCTTGGCCTGTACCAAAGGAATAGAGAATTATAATTACCAAACCATTCTGGTCTAATGCACTCAGCAAATTTTACAAAACCTTTAGGCATTATTTCATTATACTGAATCTAGAGAGAGAGAGAGAGAGAACAGCAACTCTCTTTTCTTTATTAACTAATCCAAAGTACTTGATACTTCAAGAAAACAAGAAGGGAAGAACTGTTGCAATTTCAGAATTTGATATAGCTGAATAGTAAATCACACTAGCCCTTTCTTCTGAATTTTAAGAAGGGAATCACTACAATATTTATTTCTTTGGCTATAAAATGACAAAACTTCTGTTAAATAACAGGACGCTAGATACACGGTGAGCAAATGCTTCATCACCTGGTGCCATATGTAGCTTTTCCATTTTAAATTTTACGAGCATCCCAGAAGCATTCAATGATAATTACAGCACCAGTATCCATTTCCATCAAAAGAACGGTTATCTAATACTCTTGAAAAATGCACACCATCACATTTTTCAGGGACACCACAATCCATAGGTAACAAGATTTTATCTTATAACCATAAAAAAACACAAATTCAAGATACGTAAGTCGTATCTTTATTGCTATAATTATTTTATCTAAAAATAATTCTATAGCCCAGAAATTATGGCAATACAAAAGGTTTGTGAAAAACTTGATAAGAAAACCTCACATGTTTAACCAGATTAAGCAAATATACCCAAAGGGTTTGATAAAACAAGTCAACATACTACACTCAATCCCAAGAAAAATTTTGAAGGGAGAAAAAACTTTTTATAATAAAATAAGGTCTAATCAGACCAGATAATGTAAAGGTACTATGAAGGCACTAGTCAAATGGACTCAGACACATATATGGCAGGGACAGAGACGTATGGCTAGGACTGGAACAGATCTTATCGTACCTTAGTCACTGACCAGGTAGAAACAGGAACAGGATCAGCTGCATTGAATAATAAGATTACACCATCTCTTCCTTTAAATGATGTTTCATTGCATTTAGATGATTCAGGAAGAAGTGCAAGAGCAGCAAAAGATGACATGTCTGCTGCATTAGCTATAGCTGCACAGGACATACACAACATGACATCAAACACATGACTATGATAAAGAGCTGAAAAGTGTCCTTGCTTCATTAACAGTTGCAAACAAGTAAAAAAGATGTCGTTTGAATTACTCAAGAAAACAATACCAAACACTGGAAGAAATAATAATTATAATTAAAAAAAACCTGATAGCACAGACAAAATTCAAATTTGGCAGGCTGGGGCATTGCAATTTTAAGGATTTATGCAATGACAAGCACAAGAAAGTGTTACAAGAAGCAGGCATTGCATTTTAGCAGTTGCAGCATCATTGAAACCAACACTTGTGGGCTTGTTTGAAGTCATGGTCACTGGTTACTGTATATCCTACCACTAGCCAAAGCAAGAAATGCAGCTAGAATCAATTATTGCAGCCTTTAACTTTCACATCATCGTTCCTCAGATAGAAATGGTTTCAAAATACTCATTTGCAACAATTTAGCAGTTTGAGGTAAGAATGAAGAAGCAGGCATCATATTTTAGCTATTGGAGTATCATTACAAAAACACTTATGGCCTGTTTAAGGCTCTGGTGTCCATATCGTAACCAGTACCGAAAGCAAGAAATGCAGTGTGCCTTCGATTTTCTAAGATAGAAAATGGTTTCAAAAATAATCATTTGCAACAATTAGCAGTTTGATGCAAAAATGCTAAGGAGAAGCACGCATCATATTTTAGCAATTCAAGCATCATTCGAAAAAACACTTATGGCCTTTTTGAAGCTGTGGTGACTATATCGTAACCAGAAGCTGAAGCAAAGAAATGCCTCTAGAATCAGCTATTTTAGCCTGGAATTTTCATACCATGGTTTGTCAAATAGAAATGGCTTGAAAATACTTATTTGGACATAAGAACCAAGCAGCAAACAAGTATGCACGAATTTTGTGGACCTCAGACAGGAGAAATGAATGTATAGAAACATTTCCTCATCGGGATGTGCTACATGCATGCATTTGCATGTAGTCTTACGTGTTTTATACAAAATTTTAAGTAAACTGAATCATGCTACACATCAGAATATTCCACATTCTGAAATGAAAGGGTAGCTTTTAAGGTGGAATTTTAAAGTTCATATTAATTATTGATGTTGCAGCTGATCAGTAGAAAGGTGTTGAGCTAAGTTCGACCATACAGAACTAAGATTGATCATGATAAGGGAGCAAGGCATGCTATTTACATTTTATTCGAAGTCAAGCATGATTACAATACCCCCAACTCAAATACAAAAGATTGATCAAGATACTTTCATCCAGCAGTCAGATCACTGAACCGTATCCAGTTGATTATGTTGATTTTGTTCATACTCGATCCATTGCAAGGTATAGATACATGCCTAAGAAATTTGCCAGTAATTATCAGAAATTTACACTCGCTTGTCTGTATTCCTCAAACTTCCACGACCAACTTAAAGAATCATTTTAATGTTTAAAAACATCATCAAGTTAAAGGAAGGAGAGAATCCTTATCAGTAGGAAAATAAAGGTCAACTTTTTATTTTTATTTTTTTCTATAAAAGGCTGAATTTCTGCATGTCGGTCATGAGATCAGCAATATTCCACGAAACTCACAAACAAGCAGAGGCCCAAAAATTTGTTCAAGAGAAGAGAGGAATTTTCACCTTCTACATGAAGCATGTATGACCAAGATACAGACAGCTTTGACATACTCCAAACAGATAGTTGTGGTTTTGAACCCCAAGATGCTGAAACAAGATACTCTGACTTTCCAGCAAATGAGAGGTTCACAATAGGCTGTAAAAAGTTCCAAGCAAAATAATTAAGAGTAACACCACAAAAACAGAGGAGAGATTCATGAATGCAGAAGCCATGCTGAAAAGATACATCAATAAATCTAAAGATGCCCAGACCAAGTATTTGTTCTTACAGCCTCTTTTTGCTATATTTGCTCCCACTGGGCGCCTACTAATTAATATTTCAGCTATTAAAATTCTTCTTTAGCAGTTGCACACAAGCAACAAATTCTCTTGCTCCAAACTCAGTTTCATAGAGCAGCCTTGGACAACCTCGACATGTCCATTATTTGTTACTCTAAGCAAATCAATGGAAGTCATAACTGGACACTAAACATCGCAAAAGGAACAGAACCATCAAAACAAATGAACTAATCCTACACAGGCCCACAGTTTTATCCTTTGCATAGTTAAGCACCACAAGATATACTTGCAAGCAAAAGAGGGTTACATTCAGTGGATCAAGAACAAAGGTTAGGTGGCCAGCAATATGTTATTTCCATAGTCTTGATGCAGGGTTGTGTGTGTGTGTGTGTCTGTGTGTCTGTGTGTCTGTGTGGATACATAGGATATGCACTCAGAGAATAGAAGTCAAGATCTCAGAGAATAGAAGTCAAGATCTCAAAGAATCACCATCACAGTCTCCCCAATCACAGCCACTAGAATATTCTTGTCTGCATCCCACAATGTGATAACATTTTCAGCTGCAACGGCAAGAACAGAACCATCCAAAGAAAATGTGGCAGCTGTCATTGGCTTTTTTCTGCAAGGAGAATTATAAATAATCTAAATGCCCACAAATTTGAGAGTTTAAATCACAGGCATATTACCAAGCACCTGATGTCATAAGCTTTAAGTCTCAACACAAGTACACATATCCAGTGAACAAAATGCGGTTAATTAGAAGGGGAAGGGGAAAAAAGGCATGAGAAAGAGGGAAATTTAGGTATAACTTCAGGTTTTGAAATATTGGATAAAAGTGAAACAAAGAAGAGACAGAAAAGCCAATTGAAATAGTTAGGTCTAAATGATACGAAATTATTCACGTTACTTCCATATTCACCAGCAAAATATTTCTTTAAAGGCCCACCAATTGAATCCAACAAGAATTATAGCATCAGCAAAGCAGGTTCATACTTATATGAGCCAACAGCATGGCAAGTCCATCCAGAATGTGAGAGCAGTTGACCCGTTTGCTGAATCTCATTGTTGCAAACCCAAACCTGAAGCATCCAACACAAAATGTAAATGTCATGAGAAACAGAGTCCTACGAGTTAAAAAAAATTTCTGTTCCAAATTTACCTTGAAGTCCCCACCATAAGAAGAACTGACGGCCACAGGGCGGGTAGGATGAAAAGCAATAGCTGAAATGCCAGCATCCCTATAAAACAAGGAATAACATGATCCAACCCCATGCTTCAAGGAAGCATATCCATATCCACACATTCCAATTCAGTGACAACATTCAAAAGACATTGAGAGATGATAAATAAACAAATTATGAGCCAAAAAACATAGTTCACTAGAAAGCATGAACTTTACAAGTGATGCTGAACAAGGACTGCCCTTTTTATACCACAATTCATAAAAAAAGAAAACAATTCAGTGCCACATGGTGTCAGAATGTGTGGCACTGCCCAAAAATTGTTCATATCTCATTTTCATGTTCCAAACAAATTAAATCAAAGATCAAACCTGTGGGGCTCATAAACAATGGTAGACAAACTGAACTCCTTGTTTTGTGATCCCAATGTCCAAAATTTAAGACAAACTAATCCTCCCAAGCCCTCCTCAGGAAGCTTCACCTCACCAGTACTCATCATCGAGCCATCTAAAGAGAGAACGGCTAATGTCACTACTACCTGTAACCAAAATAATCAAAGATATATTATGATTTTCCATATTTCAGAAACTAATAGTAAATGTAAGTGAATCAAATTAGTTAAAATAGATGATCAATATAAAGGCGGTCAGAAATGCAGTTCGAATAGGCAAAATTACAAAAGAGCAACTTGATTACCGTGACTTCATCGCCTGGTTGATGGCTTCTCTCGCAAACTTGAACCTGAGAGGGAATAGAAATTCAGATTTTGCTTTGATGCAATTTATAGTCAGTAAGTTTCTAATGAAATATTTATTCCCCAGTACCTAAAGCACTGAAGGTGAACATCAAAACAGCCTGGGCGCACTATGCAAAATAGCAGACCCAGGAGACCCAATATCAACAAATTGACAACTAAAAATATTATCAAGCAGATAAATGTTGTAAAAATGGATTAATTTACAAAATAAAAAGCAATGATGAAGCGGTTACATTGCTTGTAATACAGAAAACAATCCAGCACTGAATAAAACCACCTCCACCGACACCCCCACCCAAAGGAGGGAACGTAAAAGGAGAAAGAAGTACTTTCTAAGAACAAAGGATGCCATCAACATTGTTACATAGTAAATTGAATACCATTTCCTGGGGAAACATAATGGTCCCTTAGTTATAAAATATAGAATATGAAGCTGCAATCACTGGAAATGAAAACCACCTATCAGGTGAAAAGACTGAAAAAACAAGACAAAGCTAAACAAAACTTAAAATAAACTAAATCCAGACTAAATGGAACGTCGATAAATAGGCATTCTTATTCTTCAAAGTCATCCTGGAAATTCATTTATTCCAAGGAATACATTCTTTTCATCCAAAAAGATAAATAATTACCTCAGAAATTCCTCGGTCATCAAATAGGCTGTATAATTGGATGCAATAGTTTTCTGTGCGCAAGGCAACTAACCCCGCATTATGGTCAAATGCAATCCCACTTTGTAAGCCATCACACATCTCTGGAAATGAACAAGGAAGCTGAAAAATACAGCACCGTGGTTTTCACCAGGTAAGAACTAGTTTCGACATACAACAGCATCAGAATTTCTAAAGCAGTATACAAGAGTACTTTGTTCGCATAAGAATCAGTCTTGGTAAATATGAAGGTATATGAGCAGTAGGCCAATAGTATCCGGACAAACATGCAGAGAGCTAAACCTGGAAGGTTGAACAAAAATTTGATGATGCTTTTAAGGTCCGACTCAATACAAACCCAAGTCATAGGTATCGGGCCAATAAAAATTGGATGGAATTTTCCTCATGTGCAAACATGCCAATGAATTGTTGCAGCATGCTGCAAGCAAATCTTTACAGCTCAGGACATGAGGTTGAGGTGGAGAGATTTGCACCTGATATTAACATTTTTTTAAGACTCACCACTAAGCAAGGCAGTTCTGAAACTTAAAGGCTAAATATGTTAACCAAGGATTTCATTATGAACACCCCTCAAGTAATGCACCAGCTGCCATGATTGATATAAGACTCAAAGAAGGAAACTCTCACAGCATTTAAGTTTGATTTCCTAATAACAAATGGTACCGGATTTGCTAACATTTACCATAGAAGCTTAGTATTGTGTGGTTTTCCTGGTGATAAGGGTTTTTAACTGTTTATGCATGGTTCTCTGTTACAGGGATTCAACCATCGCAATATGCTTAAAAAATTGAAAATATCCACTGGTCCCTCTTTCTATATTGCTATGCTCTTCTCACTTCCATAAATTCATGAAGACACTGTCCATTCTTTGTCATAGTAAGAGCTGAACAGTGAAGAAGTTCCACATGCACAAATAAGCATGGTTGGCATGAGAATAATTAAGATAGACATATAGAAACACAATATATGACAGGTTTTTTAAAATGTTAATCCACACGAAGGTAAAGGTGATGCCTGTTCAAAACTCAATATAGACAAAGACGCATTGGTGAAAGGAACAGGATTAACGTAGTATGAGCAACAAAAAGGAGAAGTTGATGGAAATAATGCAAAATAAAGTGGTAAATGATTTAATATCATGTCAGACAGTTTGGCCAAAACAGAACATTATGGAGGAGAAAGTTTGGCCAGCATAGAACATTATGAAGGAAAGGATCAATGCAGCCAACTACGAATTGTCTGCAACTAATTGGATTATCATTTCAAATCAGTTGGATAACTGTGGAAATTTTCCTGACTTGTAGAAGATTATAAAATTTCCTACTAATTTGATTATCATTTCAAATCAGCTGAATTTATCAATCAAACAATTAAATGCCCAAGAAATAAATAATCTAACAAGGTTCAAAAAGTTCAGATATACTGATCAAACCTAACCTTGATCCCTGAGATGGACTTCAAAATTTCCATTGAAGGCATTTTGAGTAGATGAATTTGATTATCTGCACAAGATATCTAAAGATCCTTGCTTTAGTAAAATTGATAAAGACGAATTAGTTTCTTTAAATTAAAATTCTATTTGCCAGCAAACATATTCCACTTACAGAGGAAAGCGAAGGATCTGGAGAATCTGTAAACCATAAGAGTGGAGATCCAATCCGTGGTAAAAATTTCTTCTTTCCTGTGTCTAGTTGCCAAACCACAAGAACTCCTTCCTTTCCACCTAAATGTAAACAAAAGCAAGTGTTATGATCAGGAGAACAACTCTGCATGTGAATAGAGGAACGATCTTCAGGAGCAAGGCAGGACAATAAAAATATATTCCGAGCCACTATCAACTGATGCCACTGATGAGTTTAGCTCTTAAAAACACCTTCGAAGTAATTGGAAAAAGCTAGGACATTTATTTGATAAATAAATTAAATTGTCAGAATACATCAACAGGCAGAAAAGTTTTCAATATGCACAAGCATTTAGGACATGCCACTAATTCAAGGTCCATATTCTTATGCAAAGACATCCAATCACTCTGGTTTACCCATATCTCCAAATTTACTTTAATCAACTCCAAAAGCGACTGATAGGTGGTCTGCCCATTTTTCCCATTCAAGTCTAATCTCGTGTCAGGCCACATGGCAGCATAAACTAATAAATCAAAGCATTTATCCATTCATATTACTGTTTCTTTACCTGAATACAAATAGGCTCCATCAGAAGAAAAAAACAGAACATTTACTTCAGCAGAATGCCAATGCCATGTGGTGCATGAATCAGCATCATCATCCCCCTCACTCCAGGCCTTTCTTCCTCATTATTCATCAACCTTCCACTCACTAATTCATCACCATCAGCAAACATTCTATCCCCAAATCCCCTCCAAATCAAAATTCTTCCAGTCACATCCCCTGCAGCAACAATTCTTTGAGACGGGTGGAATGCAAGAACAGTCATTTTCTTTGTATGATGCAGTGTGATCTTCTTAACCACTGCACGCTCAGACTCTGCAGTCGGAACTTTCCATATTCGAAGCTTACGCTTGAATTGGATACCAAAATATTTTCCCGAGGAGCTACCAGTTATAATCTCCGGTTGCATAGTCTGTACAAAATGTAATCACAATTTAATATGACTATTCCATTGATTTGAATAAACCTCAAATCAATCAACAACTTACGAACCTCTCGATTTCTTTAAAATTGCAATTGATTGTCAATAAAATTCACCCTAAAGGCTAAAGCTACTAATAACAAATACAAAATGAAAATTTTTACCTCTGTCAATGTCACTCCACCAGCCATACGAGAATCAGTCAAGTTACACTTTTTAATTTGACCACGTAAGGCTCTATTAGACTCCTTTTCCGGTTCTTTCGTGTTTTCAACAGACATATAAGCAAAAATTTTAGGAGGATTCTCATTGGTCTCAGCTGTTTGACTTAATAAAGATGGAATCACCTGAAGATTATTAAAAATAAAACAATAATAATCCCACATTAAAAATAAAATTATTTTATTAACAAAATAATCATAAAATTCGCTATATTTACCATGGAGATAATCGGAGAATTAACATTAATTATCTTAATTAACTCTGGCACTGAAAAATCCCAATACCGAATAGTTCCGTCAAGTGAAGCCGTCCAACAATAGCATAGTATCTTACTCGCCGGAGTTGACGCCGGCACTACTACCACCGCCGTAACACGCGCCATATGGCCCTCAAGTGACGCTACCTACAGAACAAAAACGAAAAATTATGATAGTCAATTAATTAATTGAAAGAAGTGACTAATTGAAAACCTAAAATTGAATGAAAACAGAGGAATTAGTTCACCGGTAAGCCGGTGGCGGTGCTGAAGATGGAGACTGAGTTGGCAGTGCAAACGAGAAGTCGTTTGGCGTCATTGGAGAAGGCTGGTGGTGACGACACGTAGCTTCTTCCGCCTCTGATCATTTTTAGACTTTGATGATTCCAGGAAGATAAAATCGAGAGAGAGGGGTTCTGGAGATTGAAGACAGCTAGGTATTGAAGAGACTGTCTTGCGAAAGCCCTAAAAGCGGCAAACTCCTAAAACCATAAACCCTCTGTTTTTTTTAACTGACGCGGCCGCGGAAAAGAGAGAAAGGGTAGGGATTAATGCCTATATTCATCCTCATTTTCCTAAAGTTTTGTCTGAACGGTCCTCATACTATTTTGTTCTTAATTTCAACCCCTTACATTATGTTTGATAAAAAGATAAGCTATAATGATGTAAAAATCACCCTTTTGCTAATAAGCCTAGGTTTCATGGTAGTTTTTGCCTTAAAATATTGAGATTGAGGCAAAATATTGTTTAATTTAGTCAATTATTTTCTTGAATTATCATTTTGAGCAAAAGTTGCCTCTCCATCAACTTCTATTTAAGTCAACATGTCACCTTTTGATTTCACCATTAGATCATCGAGTTAAATTATCATCATTAACCAAAACTTCTCCTAAAAAATTTTAGTTTTTAGTATTTTGAGATAAATTATTTATAGAACTAATGAAAATTTACTCGCTCCAAAAATGATTTCAAATTTTTTTGAAGTTTTAAAATATTTTCTATATATAAAAAATAAAAACTCAATAAGTTATGAAAAATAGAAAATAAGATGCAATACTCCTAAATTTTGTGATGGGCCTCAGGAAATAATACAAATTTATCGAAGTAATTTTAACATTGTTCTCAAAATGGTTGTTTGTATGGTTTCTAGAACTAACTTTTTTTAAACTTCATAAGGTTTGATGCATTTAACTATAATATGTAGATAATTTCATATGATTTATTTTAGGGCCTATAATTTTTATTTTTTTTAGAATTCTAACTAATTTTCTATTTTTTTAATTTTTAAATATTTAATGTTTAGAGGAAAAAAAACTTTCTAACGTAAAAAAAATTGAAATTATTTTTAGAAGTAGATTGAATTGTACTCACATTAGTGAAAAAATTCAATTGAAAATATTGAAAAATAATTTTTTTTAAGTGGTTTTGTAATACCTATGGTTTTGAATATTCTTATGCACTTGTATGTGTGGATTTATTTTGTTAAAGTATATGAAAGTTATGCTTTATGATTATATGAAAGTTGTGTTTTATGTTTGCATTTGTATTATGTTTTATGCTGAATGGTTGGATTTGTAAATGCATATTACTAGGTGTTGTGGATGTGCGAGTGATTTAGGAATTTTAGTGTGATAATTAAAAGATTAAGGAGTGAATTAAGTGATAAAGTAAAGTGATTGGTATGTTAAGTTGTTCAAAACTTGAAGGACTTAGAGAGATAGTTTTATCAAGTGTTCCATGCATGTATCCACATAAATATAAACTTCATCGGTGTCCTGTACATATACTAACTTCGGAAAATATCATGCTTAAGCATTTAATCTAGAAAATTTAACTAGTTAAGTAACCATACAGGTGGCAATTCTTAGCTTCTCGGATTCGTCTAAGATGGCAAAGAAAGGGAGAGAAGGGAGAAGGGTCTTCTAAGTCATTTTGTGACATTTTAACCTTGTGAAACCTAAAACAGAAGAGGAAAATTGATTTGTTGAGAGGGAAATCAATTTTGGCCAAGAGGAAGAAAGAATTTGGGTAATTTGGCTGAGAGCAACAACAAGGACGAAAGAGGAGATTTTGAGAGCTTTTAGGATATTTTCTATAGTAACTAAATCCTAAGATAAGTGTAATTCCAACTACACCACAAGATATTGATATTATATATTTAATTGATGATCGAATATATAGATGTGATAGGCTTTGATGTGCTTATGTTTTACATATGATTGATCACTTGTTGAAGATGGGTTCACTTGAGATTATTTTTATGTGAATGTTTAAGGATTAATAAGTATAATCTCAACTACGTCACAAGACATGGCTATTGTAGGATTATTATGTTTTAGGAATGATGTGTTTAGATGCTTAATTGATGATTGTTTACTTGCAAGTTAAAAAAAAAAATATTTCCATAAACATTAAATAAGGATAAAAAAATATTTATTAATTTTTATATAAGTTTTTATATCAACTATTGCTTTATTTTTCAATGTAATTTTATGAAAAAGTTATTAAAACATTTTTTAACTTTTAGATTTAATTTTTTATTTATATTATTGTAAGTTTTTATTTAAAAATCAATGTATGAAAAAGAACAAATTGAATTTTTTTAATCATGAAATTTAATAAAAATATATAAAACTAGATAATTTCACCTGTTCAGCTTTTCTCACAATGCTGGCGGTCAGTCTGTGTTTTGCTAGAATAACATGATGATAATCAAGTCTTATATTTTCAGCGAGGAAGCTGCATGGTAATGCGCAGAGGATTCTTTTCTTTTTTCCCTTAAAAAATATTGATGCCTTTCCTTTTTCTCTCCACACATAATTTCCAATTTCTATCCCTCTTTTCAAGGGCAGTACAACTTTTATATATATATATATATATATATATATATATATATATATATATATATATATATATATATATATATTTGACGAAACCTGGCGATGGTTTATATATATTTATACCTTAGGGATGAGTACTATGATATTTCAGCAGTGAAAGCTACTGATTTGGGAATTGATACTTTGATATAATGTCATGCGGTTCAAGCTATAGAGACGGACGGTAAACTTAAAGCACTTCTATTTGTCACCATTATATTAGTTATGATTGATCCTGGGATCTCTTTCTTTTCAAAACTGGAACTTAAACATCAAGTGTATTTAAGATAGAGTAGGCACGACTTATATATTTATTGTTGTAAATGTTGATTTTCAAAATTACTGAAAATATTTTATGTTTGATGAGTAAATTTTCATTCTATTCAAAAAATTGAGAGTTGAAGGGTGTTAAAGGGATTTAGATCGTTCTAATTTCTTAAGCTTTATATATATATATACATATATATATATATACACCTCCGATCTAGAATCTAAATAGGTTTAGAATATTATCAAAAATATTTTACATTCCAAGTATAATGAATGTGAGATATTAAGCCTCGTGTCATTTTACTACCCGATTAATTAATATTTGCAGTGGAAACTTAGTTAATTAAATATTTAGGTCCATCTTTATTTAAAGCTAGGTACTAATTTTTTTTCAAAATAAATTCATTTAATAGGAATAATCATTATAACTTAAAATTTCATAGAGATTTTCTTTAATAAAATTTGTGAATGCAATTACCTAAAAATATGCCAAAAAAAACTCATATTTGGAATATTCAATTTTAATATTTTTAAATAATACTTTGAATTAAAATAAAGCTTTTGCCTCTTTTATTTTCTTCAATTAATTTTATTAAATTCAGGTTAATTAAATTATTCATTAATGTGAAGTATTCAATTTAACCTTTATTAATTTAGCAAACTAATTAAATAAAAATCCTATTAATTATTCTAGAAATTCGGATTATTTGAAATATAATTAATTTAGCCTTATATAATTAGCCATCACTAAGAATAAATATTCCATTTAATAATTGACCTTATTTTTAGATTGTAATTACTTCCAACTTAATAGAGAACTCTTATGATTAAAAATTCAATTGGTCAATTTAATTAAAACTTTTGTTTAGCCCATTGGAAGCTAAGTAATGTATTAAACCCTTTAGAGGCTATTTTAGATTAGAAAACACCAATTCACTTAATTGTTCCATATCAATTAAATACCATTTAATTGATTTAGGTTTTATGTGAATTAATTCTTTTATTAACCTTAACTCGAAATCCCATTTTATTATATTAAATTTTTTTATCTAACCATATAGCTAACTCCGCCAAATCATCAAATTAATTTATAAATATCTCAAAATATTTATTTATATATTCACATTCCAAATTAACAAATTACCTAAACCACTAAAGATGTAATAGGTCCGAACTTATACTATATTTTCAATAAACATTGGCAAACTCCTTTTCTTCAAGCTTCATCATCAACTTCACATCGATTCCTTACATGTCAACCTTCATCACAAGACAAGTAGAGACTTAATGCTCAAATCACGTATGCTTAATGGAAGTAAATACATTTTCGTGATTTTGAAAAATATTTTCTATGATTGGACGCATTCTACCGAATGTATATTTATCCGGCCCTCCATGAAAACCATGACTTTGGAAAACTATGAAAAGCATTAGATACGTCCCCTGTGAAGCTTGTGAATTTCCGTCACGTCCGTGATTTTGCTCGTGATTTTGCCTATGATTGAGCCTCGTGATTTTGGACTTGTCTAGCCACTTTTCTTGAAAACCATGCACTTGACTTTGCCTTTGAATGTATAAAACATGAGGAAAATCATTTTGTGGCGTGAATACAATGAAATATTTTACAAATGACCTATGAACTTTAATTAAGCTAGTAGGCCGAATATACCTACCATTAAAACACGAGTCATTTATCCATGAAACATGAAATAAAATATATAAAATACATTCAATGACATATCAATCACATAACCAATCAATTAAAATATAAAAATACCATTTAATCATACTAATCATCCAAATGTAACACTAATAATTCATCATTAAGAATCCTATAATCTTAAACTTACTCACTTGGCTTAATTAATCATCATCGTAAACTCAATTATTATTTTGTCTTAGGACTAACCATATCTTACACCCTAACTATTGGCAAAACAAACATTGACATGAACAAAACACATGAATAACCACCAAGAAACATCAAGCTTAACATTAGGACGAATTTAACAAGAGCAAGCCAAGGCAAATTCAAGCATAAATCCATTTAAATGTCACATAAACACATCACCATGTAATTACATAATCTAAATCTAACTTGGATACAAATATACCCATGAAGATTATATTAAAGCACTTAGAAATCAGATTTGGCTGAATAATTACATCAATCCTCCTAAAAAATCAGATTTGGCCAAAATATCTCAACAACCAATTAC